TTAAAGGTTTTTCCCAACTATTCTATGATTGTATGTTCTGGTCTCCACTGGAAAGGATATATACCAGTTTGATAGCTTAGTCTTTTAAAGAGTCCACGTTTCTTTGGGACTTGGCATATATTAGGAAATCTGTATTACTGTAGAACCAAAGAACCTTATGATAAGAGTTCTATGAACATAGAAGAGAGAGATGTTTACAATCTGAATAAAAGGCAAGACAGACTGGGAAAAATCAAACACTGTGACATGGTGTGACCAGCAATTTTATTGGTATAATGACACTGTAAGCATTGTCTTGCTTTTGTGGTTTTGTTAGCAAAAAACAAATTTGAAGGAGAACAGTGATGTCATTTTCCATCTTGGTTGAGGGTGAAATTTTTGTGGCCGGCTTCAGCTGCCCCGGGTTTGTGTTGTTATAGAACAAGATGTTCCCACCTGCTCATTCTTGCTAGGACTAATTGTCTGTGTGTCTGGGGTGTCAGCAGGATCAGCTTGATGCTTTGTGTTCAGACAGATTTTCTTCTACGGTTAGTTTTCACCAAAGGCAGAGATATGATCCAGCTGACCTCGCAGCTACCTGAGCACTAGCTGGTGAGACTGTTTGAGTGGGTCAGGAAAAAGCATGTGGGTTCTTGAATACTGGCTTAAGCCAATTGTGACACTTCATTGCAATTGATTTTTTCTTAGTGATTCTGTTTTTAGCAAGGCAATATGTTTATCTTGGGTTTCTTTCAAATGTTAGTATGAATGACAAGAATGTGTCTGTGATTTCCAAGCGCAGTATGTGAAGAGCTGGGATGCAGAGCATGTCACGAGCACTTCTTGCATGAAGAATAAGCAATCTCTTTCATGTATGTTCTTCATGCCTTGAAAATCTATGTCCATCCTACTTCTGTAATGAAAACATGCTGTAGCTCTGGGTTTTGTTCTGACTGATTTGTACAATCAACTGAAAAATAGGGTTGGCTGTTTATCTTCTGTTCTCTGTGTGGGGACAGCAGCAGAGGACGTGAAAGTGTACATGCTGCCTTGAGATGGCATTCCACAGGCCTGTTTTTTAATCTCGCTGTATAAAGTCAATGCTTTCAGTTAAAGATGCATGGGAAGGGCACTTTAATGAATTGGTTGCGCTTTTTTTTCCCACCCCTTAAGCTGTTGTCTCTGAAAGGCAGGTCAGAAAATGGAAGTAGACTTGATGGAAGAACCTGGCAAACTGTCCTGCTCTCAGTATTGTATATAGGAGAAGGATGACTTTTGCTGTTCAGACTGGTCCTCAGATACTTGATTCTCTGCCACAGTCTCTACTTTTGGCAAGTTGATTATTGAAGTTTCTTAGTCTGTGAAGCGGGGCAGTTTCGTGATTAACTTGATTGTAAGCAGTTTGGAAAGAGGACATGCGTATAGTCATTGTATGGGAGCCATTTGCCAGAATGACTTCTCACCACTTCTGCAAAGTAAAAAGTAAAATAATCTTACAGTTAGTAATCTCACAGGGCGTGAAAAGTAGGGCCAGATCATGAAGATTCGTGTCTGTGACATCTGTAGTACCTAGCCATGCCTGTCTGCCTTGATCCTTGAGTGAAAGCAAGTTGCAAGCTGTACTTCTGAATTGCTTTTTTTTTAAAAAAAAAGGGGGGGGGAAGATGGATTTCTCTCTGTCATTCAGCCTGTTTCCTTGTTGGAACAAGGTTGTCTGGCAGATAACACAATAGCTGAGTCTGCTCTGTTTCTCACAGATGAAGTGTTGCCCTTGATCTTCTGGCAGATGGCCAAAGCAGTCCTGGCTTGGTGAATTCTGGATGTTAACTTATTTGACATGCTAATGGATGACTTGCATACGTTTTACTATCAGGAAGAACTGAATTATGTGCAAAGCGTAAAATCAAGGGACAGATATGCACCATTCACTGTTTGGAGGTTGGTGGGGGCTTGCTGCATCCAGGAAGAGTTTTTGGGGCTGTTTTTTAGTTTCTATATAATGAGTAGCTGGAAAAGAAGTTCTTGTTCCTGCTTGAGGTAAAGAAAAACATAAATGTATAGTTCATCTATCAGGACTTTGTCAAGATTCTTAGGGTCCAGGCTACTTTGGAGATATTTGCAGATGTGCTTATTTCAAGAGTAGTGAAGGTGCCAGTTTGCTTGGAAGAAGTAGGCTAATTACTTTGTTTTCTTCAGATTTATGTCATTGTATGCTGCTGTTTTGGCTGCACTTGTTTAGAAGCAGTCAGATATTTCATACTTTATTTACTGTAGTAAAACTTTAAAACTCTTAAAACTGTATTCAAATTTGCCATATTCTTAGCTGGTGCCTATTGTTTTTCTTAACATTTCTCCCTTTTTGGTTTTAGAAGTATCTAACAGCTGTTTGGCTTCTCTTGGCTTCTGTTTGCTGGATTTACAGGGAAGATTTCTTGGCAATCAGTGGTGCACCTTGCAAGTGTGAGCTTCTGGCTTCCTGTCCTGGCCCAGGTGATGCAAGAGTCCTAACATATGCAGACAGTGCTTGCCTATTTTATTCAAGGGAGTTGGTGGTGGTTTTTAAACTACACATAGTGTGCCAACTTCCTTACCAATCAAGAGGAGAACTTTATGGTTGAAACTTTACTGCTTAGAACTTTATGGTTGAAACTACAAAGCCAGTCCCTTAATTGTGTGAAGTTTCTTGACCTAAGAGCAGTTGCTGTTCTGGTTAGAGTAAGACTGTGCAACTGGAGGAGAAAAGTGAGGAAATGACAAAGCAGTTCAGGGGCTGATGATGGATTAAAGTGGGGTGCGAGCATTTGAAAGCACTGCAGGAAATTATGTCCTGTTGCTACTTCTGAGAATATCTTAATTTGGAAACCTCTTCTAAGAAAGAGGTTGAAGATCCAGGACACAAATGTGGGCATCTGATGCTTCAGTATTGTGTGTTTCCAAGTTCTTTACTTTTTCAGCCTAATTAGTTTAGAGTTAGCTAAAGGAATTTTGCATTAGAGTAAGTCTTTATTAACCTTACATCAAACATGGATGTATGACAGTGGTGTCAGGCTGGAGGATGTGAAGGGTTTTTAATTTCAGTCCTCATACCTGTTGAGATGCTCTTCGAAGTGTGGATCTGTTACAGCTGAAGCACAATTTTCCTGAGTCTGAGGACATCCTGAGGTGTGGATGTGGTTTTCTAATTAGCACTTCTGGTGCCAGTTTTAGGACCTGCAGATGACACCTGCAAGCCTTAGTCTGAGGTACTTAAATGTTGATTTTAGGGTTTTTTAATAGTTGAAGGAGGATAGGAGGGAGAATTAGGTGTTTCTGCTGGAAGGAAATACTGAGGAGAAAGATAGGATATGCACTCATAAGGATAGCACGAGAGGGGAGGGAATTGCTGGTCTTGATCCTGCAGTGCAGATGTTAATTTTCAGGGATGTGGTTAGGGCAAGAGGTGGCTGTGTGTATCCAGTTTTTACCAGCTGTCTCAGGCAGTGAACTGCAGTGCCTCCTACTTAATCAGATTCACTTCAGCTGTTGCCTGACCCCACACCAGCATGCAAAATAGAGAACTAAACACAAAAATCCAGGCCTTGTAGGAACAGTCATCTGTTTGTGAAAGACTGCTGCTTACAGAGGAAGATCATTTGCAGGTTGAAGGGGATAAATCATTCTAGACACAACACACAAGTAGCCATCAATAGATTTCAGCCTTCTCTGTAGAAAGGGGTTAACATGCCATACTTTACCAGGTTTTGATTTGACATTAATATTCTGCTAGTTCAGTACATCAAGAATAATAGATATGCTGTTAAATTTTCTTGGGTTTTTCTTACACTTATTAAAGAACAGATCTACAGTCTGTCAGAGCTCACCAAAAGCAAATTGTATGTATAACTTCTCTTTGAGAACCTCTAGATTTCTCTTCTGTCCTAAAAATGTCTGACAGGCTTTCAGAACAGCTTCCTCGAGGTGTGTGTATTTTTAAAATTGCATTGAGTTTTTTTTGTTGTCTTCACCATCTTCAGTTCACTTCCAGAGGCTCTGAGAAAATGTTCTTTGGTTATAGAAGGAACAAACTTAAGGAGGAATATAATTATAAACCTGGGCTATGACTCTACATCACTTTCTTTAGTGTAAGTCAGCTTCAGATCCTCCACTTCCTTGCTTCACTTACGTTCCCTCACAGGGCTTTGTGTCCCCTCTTATACCTGTTTGACTGCTAGTGGAGCTGTGCTCTGAACAACATCTGTGAAATGATCCAGCACAAGAGCCTCCCAAATGAAAATGTACTTTGGCAGGTGATGTAAACCTTTGTTCTGGTTTAGATTGTAACCCTATGGTATATGTTTGAACTGACATAACTGGGTATAATGTATTTCTGGAGAGTTGTAAGGCCTTATATGATTTTTTTGCCAAAGGAACAGTGACATAGAGCTCCAACTTCTAGTCTTTTTGCGGGATAAGGTATGTAGCTAGGTATCTTTTTTCAGATGTTCACACTGACGGTATTATATTTACTTAATATTCTGTGTTTATCACCAGAAAATAAACTCCAAATATATAAATTTATAAAATTTGCCAAAGCCAAAACTTCATGATGATTATCCTATCTGGGAGACATGAGACTTGCGGTAAGCCTCCTGAAGCTTAGTGGCTGTTGTGATGTGGGTCTCTTTCTCACTGTGGTACGGGGAAACTGAAGAACAGCATTGTTTTCTCATTATATTAAACAGAGAAAAGAGTTTTAGATTCAAGGGTTTCGTTAAACAGAAAACCTCCCATGACACATTTCTCTCCTTTCTCTTCCATTGCTGTGAAAACCAAATGAGATGATTGAAAAAGCCCTGCTGTAAGTAATCTAGTTTACTTGTTTTAAGAATGAATTTATGCATTTTTGAGCCATATTTATAGCATTTATGGATTCCAACTTGAAAAGAATGTAAATTCAAAATAGGGAGGATATTTGACATAATGGTTTCTTCTCTGTTTGATGATGACTTTTATCTCCTGTTTTGTTTTTTTTTTTCCCGCAGTTATTTGTAGTAGATGTCCAAACTGGCCAAATTACCAAGATTCCGATTCTGAAAGATCGTGAACCTGGAATGGTGAACCAGCAGGGATGTGGTATTCATGCCATTGAGCTCAACCCATCGAGGACCCTTCTGGCCACAGGTGGAGACAACCCCAACAGTCTTGCAATTTATCGTCTGCCTACACTCGATCCTGTCTGTGTGGGAGATGTAAGTGGGAGTATGTGGGGAAAGTTTATTCTGTCACTTACAAGACTTTCTACTTTGAAGTGCCTAATATCAGAGCAAGGTTAAGATTTGGGAATGTTGTAGTGGAGAATGAATTTCTGAAAGCTTGAAACCATTCCTGTTTGTCTTTTTTGACAAGATATTTTAAATACTATCAAGTACACAAACATGTGAGAAGATTCTTGAGGTTGCAAGTCAGATTTCTTCTTCCTCACCCTCATTCAGGTCTACTTCAGATCACTTATAGACACTGAAAATGTAACAAAATCCCAGATGTTAAAGTCTAATTGTGATGATGAGCTCTGAAGCTAGTTTTAGTGAAAAAACTTGAGAATTTAAAAAGATGATACAAGTTGTTCACATTTTCCCCTTCACCAGTGCAATTCATGTATGTATTATTCCAGAGGTGGAACTTTTCTTTGAGGATTAGTTCTAACTCAGTGGCTTATGGCAGTTTGATAGACTCAGGTACTGCTTATAGTTCTGAATCATCATGTGAACTTTTTAAAATAGCCAGTCTTAAAAAGAAGAAATGTTGAAATGAGTGTAGTGTGTCCTGCAAGTACTTCTCTTTCATTTCTCCTTTTTATTCAGACTTCACATAGACGTTAACTACAACAGCAGAAGTCAAGTCAGAGTTTCTGCAGTAGCAGATAACCAGCTGCAGAACGGTTGACTGAAGATTTGTGTGATTTGTTATGCATTTGCATCCTGTGGTGACTTTGCAGCTTTTCAAACAGAACTGGAGCCTTATGGAGTTCTTTTCCCCACAGGTTTCTCACCTGCTAAATAAAAACTTGTTGAAGTAATATCTTGACATATTAGTCTGTAGGTTATATATATTGTAAGCATAAGATTCTGGTTATTTTTCATAGTAGGAATGTACATTTGAGGAAATAAAAGTATGTAGCTACTTTACACAAATAAAGAAACCTGATTTCAAAATGGAAAATCTAAGTCCTTAGAATTGAGATCAATTTGTCCTTGGTCAGAGACCTGTTTTTCCATCAACTAATTGTTGTCTATTAAGTATAGACTTCAAAATCAAAAAAAGTTAAAATTACTGTTAAGTTCTTAAACTGCTCCAGCTTGATGCAGAAATCTTATCTATACATTTTTAATGTAGGTCTGTCCTGAATTTGTACTAAAAACCAGAGTGAAGAATAATTGTTTGCTTTGAGGCTACTCTAGAGCATAATGGCACAGAAAAATCCCTCTTTTTTCTTTTAGGATGGACATAAGGACTGGATATTTTCAATTGCATGGATCAGTGATACTATGGCTGTTTCTGGTAAAGTAAATTTCTCTCTCTCTCTCTATTTTTTTTTTCCTTCTCTTTAGGATTTTATACTGCTATACAGCACTTGGTAGATCTTAGGGAAGCACTTTGTCAAGGCATTTGAAACTACTCAGAACTGTCTCTGTTACTTAAACCCTTCTTGGTCTTAGTACAGTGCTTCACTTTGTTTTATTTGTAGGGTTCTGATCTAGAATTGATTTTTCTAGTATCAGAGGTAATATTCCTGTTTTTCCAGTTGGTGTTGCCATGAGAGGATCTTTAAACATAATGAGTTACAGGGAAGGATTCCACACAAGAAGAATAATTTCAAGAGAGGTGTTTATTATCAGTTAATAACTTTGGAATACAACAGAGCAATATTGGTTGCCCGAAATCCTGAGTTAATGAAAACTCAGTTTTGTCAAGCTAGCGGTACAGCTCTGTGTGTGTGTGTATATATATATGTGCACATATACTATGGCAGTTAATACAAAAGGCTGTAATAGAAAAAGTCAATTATTGACTTTTTAGCAACTAGTTGGATAATCAGTGTAACTTCATAAAATATTACTTTTGTAAAGGTGGCAATACTAATATCCTGTAGCATTAATTTAGTAGTTTACTGTCTTTCTGTGCTGACAGGTTGTAGTATTCTGTACAAGGAGCTGTCAGACTGCAGGTGACAGAATATCATAACAGTCTTATATAAAAATCAAATGCTTGAATTGTTAGTTCAGTAAGACTTTTTTTTGTTTGTTTGTTCAAAAACCAAAAAGCTAATCCTGGAATTTGATTTTGAATTTAATATAAAGGTTTATCTTTGCAAGTCTCCAACCCCCCCAAAATTGTCCGCTAGTAAGCGTGAAGAGAACAGCAGAGATGATTAGAGATACCCAAGGGAAAGATAAGCACCCAGTGGAATAGAGCATGTGAGATTAGACTGGGTTGCTCTCAGTGTTTTCTGCATGCTCAAGGGTGGAGGTGTGAGTAGAAGGCAGCCATATTCTCTGTTGTATAATGCTTACATCAGGATGTAGGTTCCAGTCACCAGACCTGAGACACTAGGGAAAACTTCTTGGAAGCAATTAGCGAGTCTGATTGCTAACCTGAGTTCTTCAGACCTTTGCTGATGATCCTAGTCAGGAGATCCTAATCAGGAGCTGGCTGGGATGCTCGCCAAGCCGCTTTCCATCATTTACCGGCAGTCCTGGCTGACCGGAGAGGTCCCAACTGATTGGAAATTGGCCAGTGTGACGCCCATCTATAAGAAGTGTCGGAAGGATGATCTGGGAAATTACAGGCCTGTCAGCTTGACTTTGGTGCCCCGGAAACTGATGGAGCAGCTCCTCCTGAGTACCATCACACAACACATGTGGGACAACCAGACAATCAAGCCCAGTCAGCATGGTTTATGAAAGGCAGGTCCTGCTTGACAAACCTGATCTCCTTCCACAACAGGGCAACATGCTTAATGGATGAGGGAAAGGCTGTGGATGTTGTTTACCTTGACTTTAGCAAGGCCTTTGACACCATTTCCCACAGCATTCTCCTGGTGAAACTGGCTGCTCATGTCTTGGACGGGCACGGGCTTTGCTGGGTAAAAAACTGTCTGGATGTCCGGGCCCAAAGAGTTGTGGTGAAAGGAGTTAAATCCAGTTTGTGGCCGGTCAGGAGTGGTGACCCCAGGGCTGGGTGTTGGGGCCACTCCTGTTTAACATCTTTATTGATGATCCAGACGAGGGGATCAAGGGCATCCTCAGTCAGTTTGCAGATGATTTGCAGATGACACCAAGTTGGGTGGGAGTGTTGATGTGCTCGAGGGTAGGGAGGCTCTGCAGAGAGACCTGGACAGGCTGAGCCATGGGCTGAGCCCAACTGGAGGAGTTTCACTGAGGGCAAATGCCGGGGGCTGCCCTTGGGCCACAACAACCCCCAGCAGCGCTACAGGCTTGGGGAGGAGTGGCTGGAGAGCTGCCAGTCAGAGAGGGACCTGGGGGTGATTGACAGCCGGCTGAACAGGAGCCAGCAGTGTGCCCAGGTGGCCAAGAAGGCCAATGGCATCCTGGCTTGTGTCAGCAATAGTGTGGCCAGCAGGGACAGGGAAGGGATCTGACCCCTGTGCTCGGCACTGGTGAGGCCGCACCTCGATTCCTGTGTTCAGTTTTGGCCCCTCACTTCAAAAAGGACATTGAATGACTCGAGCGTGTCCAGAGAAGGGCAACGGAGCTGGGGCAGGGTCTGGAGCACAGGTCTTACGAGGAGCGGCTGAGGGAACTGGGGGTGTTTAGTCTGGAGAAGAGGAGGCTGAGGGGAGACCTCATCGCCCTCTACAGCTCCCTGAAAGGAGGGTGCAGAGAGCTGGGGATGAGTCTCTTTAACCAAGTAACAAGCGATAAGACAAGAGGTAATGGCCTCAAGTTGTGTCAGGGAAGGTTTAGACTGGATATTAGGAAGCATTTCTTTCCAGAAGGGGTTGTTGGGCGTTGGAATGGGCTGCCCAGGGAGGTGGTGGAGTCCCCATCCCTGGAGGGGTTTAAGAGTCACATTGACATAACACTGAGGGATCTGGTGGGAACAGTCAGTGCTAGGTTAATGGTTGGACTGTATGATCTTCAAAGTCCTTTCCAACCTAGACAATTCTGTGATTCTGTCAAAACAGACAAGCAATTTCTGATGTTTTAATCTTAGTAATTCTATTACATTTATATTTTAAAGTGTGAAGCAGAAATACTTGATCTCCTGACACTGCGGATATAGCGAATACCTTTATCTGAATTAAGAAACTAAATGCAATTTTTTTGTGATTTTCTTGGGGCAGGTTAAATGCCACAGAAATTAAAAAGAGCATTTGGTCCCATGGCAGATCACACTGATAATACAGCTTGAGGTTAGAGATTTGGCACTATACTTTCTCGTGCTGTCAGAATTGTTGAGAGAGTACAAAGAGGACCAGGGACTTGATTATGCCTCTTATTTGTGTCAGCTTCAACAAGAACAAGGCAGGGCTCTGCTTCTGAAACTTGCAGCAGTGTATTTCAGTAGTCCATAAGCATAAAATTAAGCTCTTGACTAAGGGGCCATAGCTGAGGGAGAATGCATCAGTCCAGTCAGTTGCACTCAGGGATTAAGATCTTCATGGCAGAAGCTTCAGATGGGGTGAATATTTCTCAGGATGACATGAGCCTAGGGTAACAAATGATATTTTTCTTGGCTTTGGGGCTAAGCAGATGAACATGAACAACATACATTGACTTTTCCCCCTGCTAGGTCTATTAAAAGGGACAGCTTCCTCTTAAAGTATGTCAAGATGTTTAGAATTTCTACTGCTGAGTATTCAGCCTCCTTAACAAACACAATTGGGTGTCATTAAAAACCATCAACATGTAAATTGTGAAGCAGGATGTTGTGACACGTGCTGCCTGCTGCTATGCAAGTGAGATTAGGAAGGTCCTTTTGTATTTGGCTGTAGTAGGTGATAAGGACAAATGACTAAATCCATCTGTGAGGGGACAAAGCCATCTCTGCTGTGCTGGACTACACGTATGTCAATAAGATGTTTTGCTTAGTTCTCTTTGCAGCTTATTCCCGATGAGGTACCAAGGCCTATAAATTTAATAGTCTGATGTAGATATTTAGTCTTTTCTGGTATCCTCATTATGCATTCCGTGTGAAAGAGAGTGATGTATTTTTCACATTGAGTAGGGAAGAAATTAAGGAACATGTCAAATCTGTCAGAGCCAATTTAGGTGGAAGTGAGTTGCCCAAACACCAGAAGGGATGGGTATAGAGCCTTGGGTTAAGCCTATGTTGATCTATGAACAAAGAAATTCAGCTTTCTTCGTCCATTATTGTTACTCTTATTGATTCACATTTTGGGTTAATGTCTTCAAATTCAACAGAAAAATAAAACAAGTTCTTGCTTGTTCACCTCAGTTCCTGTGTTTCATTCTTTAACCAAGAAGTTGTACAGGTTTTAAGGAAAGTAATTTTATAAATAGATTTCGTCCAAATTGGTACAAATTGTGATTTCAAATAGCTTTTTCTGTTCAGTTCAGAAATGTGTGTGTACATACCTGTAAGTATACAGGTACAAACCAAATGAACTCAAATTGGCATAAACCAAACTGAGTTTTGTTGGAGGTTTTTGTATTGGATAAACAGACTGCTATTCACAGCCTTGATAAACCAGGCTGAATTCATAGGCTATTCAGTCACCTCTGAGTTTGTTCTACATGTGAATATCTAATGGTTATTGTACAGGACTGTTTTTTCATGCATCCTAATCAGTTTGAAAACAGACGAGGTGATCTGTCTGCTTGGAAATGGTATAGACAAAACAGTTGACAAAGAGTTCACAATGTTATGAACTTTACATCTCAGTAAAATCAAGTTTTTGTTAGTAATTAATATATAGGCACCAACAGTGTATTCAGTTAGATTAGATTAAATGAATAGTATCCTTTCTTTCTTTCAGACCCTGTTGCTTATTCCTTTTTTAAAAAGGGGAGTTAGTTATATGTGAAATGGACTATTTATTCATGGACTGTTTTTCAGGCTCCCGGGATGGTTCAATGGGTCTCTGGGAAGTCACAGAGGATGTGTTGTCCAGAAGTGATGCCAGGCATAATCTCTCTCAAGTTCCTGTCTATGCCCACATAACACACAGGGCTCTGAAGGATATCCCCAAGGAGAACACCAATCCTGACAACTGCAAAGTCCGAGCATTGGCTTTCAACAATAAGAACAAGGTCAGTAAGATGAGCGAGACAGCTGAGAAGTCCTAAAACTGTCTATATGTATTAGGAAAAGAGCAAAGTGATGTAAATCAAAAATATCAGAGAAGCAACCTAATATTTTTTGCCCTGATCCTTTTACATCCTTATCATGTGAGATGGTAGTCTTCATCTGCTATGTCTGCTTCAGCTGCAAGTGAACAGAGAAGTCGAGTAGAAAAAAAAATCATGTTTTAAACAAAACAATTTTCCTGGGCATTTTGATTTGTAGATTTGCGTCCTAAGCAGGGGAGACAGGGAATGTTTACAAGAAGCAGATCAAGCACCAAAACACCTGTTGATCCTTGAATCCCACTCTTGAATGCTTTTGCTGCTTTTCTTCATTTTTCGTGAAGACCACCTAACATTTTGATGGCTGAATCACTACTGGGTTGCTCAGCCAGGTGACTGACTCAAAGTGCTTGCTATGGTGTTATTTTGTTGACGTCTGGCAGACAGTAAATATTAACCTCCCCCATGCTGATCTCTTGCTATTACTGGTGGGAGTAGCAATTCATCCTCCATTACTTTGCTTTCTGCCCTCAAAAATCAGAGAAACTGTGAAGCAAAGGTGGGCGTGCTCTCCAAAGCACAGTGCTCCTGTGGGCTTTATTTTCACTATAGCTGTTAATTACTCCCCTGTGACAGAGACTTCATAAAGCTTTTTCAGTAGAGTAGTACCTGGAAAGAAATGTTTGCTTCAGGGTCAGAATTGGTGTGGGAGCTGCTGAAAAGCATTGTCAACACTAGATTGTAATGTGCAATAATTAATTATTTGATTGTCTAACAATATCTATACTTTCACAAGTTATTTTTTGTTATTTATTGTTTTCTTAATTCTTATTCTACCCAGTACCTTTGTGCAATATTGTGTTCTATCAAGATGAGTATAAAATGACAAATGATAAGCACATACAGGATTAGGGATAAATTCAATCCAGATTATGCAGCCTGCCTAGTAGAGAGTCTGCATTTGTAAGGACATCTATAATACAGAAACTAACTCTGTTACTTTCTTTTTTTAACAGGAACTGGGAGCTGTGTCCCTAGATGGGTATTTTCATCTTTGGAAAGCAGAGCACACACTATCAAAGGTGCTTTTCTGTTGTTGTTACATTTCAGAAATTGCCTAGCAGTTAAGGCCCGTCACTATTCTTCATCTCCTCTTAAATGCTTGAAGAAAGAGCAGCAGTGTTTGTAAAACACTTAAAAGCTTAATTTAAAATGAAATGTCCTAAAAATTAGAATTTGATGAGAGAAACTTCCCACTCCCCTTATTTTGGAGGGTGGGAAGTGCTCTTAACTTTTTGGCCAGTTCTGGGTTAGCTGAAGTGAGCTGTTGCATGGAGTATGATTGATACTTGATTAGCAGAGTTCATAAGGGAAATTGCACTTATTTAGGTGTAATTGCAGATCTAACCGAGACATATCTATCCTACTGTATGAGATGAGCTCTTTGAACTGAGAGATGATGTCTGTGTATGCTTGCTGAAGGAGTAACAGCAGCTTAGAAAGATGTAAAACTTCACCAAAATGTCAGTTGTTCTTTACGTAATACTTGGCTTCAGCCTTTGTCATCTCAGTTTGATTCAGATAAGGCATCCCATCTCCTTCAGGTTTTTTAATCTAGGTCAGGCTGTTGCTTTTCTGTTAAAGTTCTTTTTTTTTGTGGAGAATGTATTTTTACCTATATTTTGTTTTTTTCACTGCAACTTCCTTGAACATAGTTTACAGAGTTGTTCTATTAACATCTTGCTCTTTCCTCATAATGGGTTGATTTTTATTTCTTCTGTTTCCAGTTACTTTCCACAAAGTTGCCATACTGCAGGGAGAACGTGTGTTTGGCTTATGGTCAGGAGTGGTCAGTGTATGCAGTAGGATCACAGGCACATGTCTCCTTTCTGGATCCCAGGCAGCCTTCTCACAACGTTAAATCCGTCTGCTCTAAGGAACGAGGCAGTGGTAAGAAACTTGTCAAAGGGTGCTTCAAATGGTTTGCTTGCAGAGGTAGCTATTAAGACTGCAGTAAGATAAGCTTTTAATAAATTGGAAGGGTTTTTCATTTAATAGACTAAATCATTAATATTATATGTAGGTTTTTCTTACTTTGTAGTGTGAATGCTTGCTTTGTAATTTTACAACTGAGTGAGACTCTTAATTTTCGGTGTGTATTTATGTGCTTTAGATATACAAAAGCTCACTCTTCAGAAAAAAAAGAGTGCAGATTTGAGCGCTGTTTACCTTTTCTGATATGCATGCAATATGTCCAACTGAACCTTGCACCAGGGCCAGCATGAGAGCTTGCAGGGTGGACGATCCCATAAGATTCTTCTTATACCCTTTATTTTCAAGCACTGTGCTCTGATGGCCATTTTAAACCATATTAATCCTGTACTAATAAATTGCAGCCCTTATTTAGCTTAGCTTTAGGAATCCATCTCTTTATTGGGCACATTAGCGAAAGAATGCATGCAGGCAGGAATTAGGGAAGTTTTATTTATGTGCTTACTGAAGTTTACCTAGACAGTGCTGTCTAGATAAATGTCAGGATCTGCTTCTTTCAGACACAGTACAGGTTTCTGAGTTACGAGGAAAGGTGCTTCACCAGCCTGTGTTGTCATCTGAACATCTTACCAGTGACAATCCTTGTCCTGACCTGCTGTCAGTGAGGGCTCTGTGGAGGTCCTGACACTGTCACACTTCAGTGTCATAGGGAAGAAATACCAAGACACTGGAGTGCGGTGGCTGAAAGCTTCTGCCATGCATATGTGATCATCCCTGTTGGGAGGATGGTCTATGTGTAGGTAGGGTCTCTGGGGCACCTCCATTTCATGTCTGGAGAAAGCCTTTGTTCAGCACTGTTTTCTGTTCTGCATAGGAGGAAGATGATTTCTTTTTTTCCCATGGTGGCGGAGGCGTGTTGTGGTTTAAACCCGGCTGGGAGCCAAACACCACGCAGCCACTCATTCATTCTCCTCCTGCTCAGGGATGGGGGACAAATCTGGAGGGGTAAAGGGAGACTCATGGGTTGAGATAAAAAGTGTTAAAATTGTAATAAAATAATAGCAATAATAGGAAGTACATATGGGTAGTGCACAATGTGACTGCTTACCACCTCCTGACTGATATGCAGCCTGTTTCCAGCTAGCGATCCTGAAATACCAAGATCCTGCAGTCTCAATCCTGAAGGTGAGAACCACCCCATTTCCTGGCTGCCCCTCCTTTATCTACTGAGCATGACTTTACACGATATGGAATATTTCACTGGCCAATTGGGTGCTCTGGCCATGCTCTCTCACAGCTTTTTGTACATGGGCAGTACATGGGGAGTTGTAGAGTTCTTAATCTCTTAGCAACAACTGAAAACATCACTGTATTATCAACATTCTTCTCATACCAAATCCAGTACTGAGTCCAAAGCACAGCACTATTCTAATGCTAAGAAGAAAAATTAACTGTCCCAGCTGAAAGCAGGACAAGGTACTTTAGTATTAATTCCTGATACCGAGTGTTTCAACTTCCTGTCGACCTCATTGGAACTTGGAGTGGTTCAGCACCTCTAGAAGGCAGGCTCTTTATTGATTTGCAAGCTAAAACTTGAGTTGACTTTTAAGTGCTTTGAATTGTTACCTGAATCTGCTTTCAGCTCCAAATGCACCTGCTGAATGTGGTTAAGTCCACTTCAGATCAGTGGTTTTTACAAAAGCAGGTCAGGAAAGGTTGTCACTTAGTAAGACTGGAACAGTTTTTTTACCCAGTGTAACCTGTCTGCTCTACATGAGAAGGTAGCTAATACTTTTTAGTGCATCTTGTAAGTGTTGCTTTTCTCAGCAGCTGTACAGGGAGGTGCAGGTTATGGACTCTTTAATTCTTGATCTGTGAGAGCAACTGCTTTCTGCTCAACTGGCATGCAGTGCAGTGTCACATGCCCTTGGCTTTATATCCTGGAGGTAGCAATGTTGATGTAGTGGACAGAGCTTGAGTGGCATGGACTCTGTGTCTGTTCCAAGTGTAGGACACGCTACTGAGACTTCATTTCTTTCTGGGATTTGTAGAGCTTCTCTGCCTTTCAGGAACGAGACTCCATTTGCTAATCCAAATATTCCAGATCCACAGGTGGTAGAGTGCTGGGTGTGCTGGAGAGCTTACTGTGATCAGTTCTAGGCACAGGTTGTGCTTTTAGTTTGATGGCAATGATTAATTGCAGGTACTTCAGCCCATTAGGAGCCAATTTGAAGTGCTGTTCTTGAAAGTCTGTTCTAAACATCCTCTTAGTAATGGGTAGGTACATCATGGATTCCTTCAGTTAGATCCACAGTCGTTTTGCATTTTATAGCTTTTTATTAATAAATTGCATTGAAAAGTACATGCCATCTGCTTTTGTACTCCCATCACCTGTTAAGTGTTCTGCTGAGTTGCTTGTCAAGAGCACTTTTGGACAAAAATAAGAGCAGGTCCCCTCTTGTGCCTTTCTCCTCTTATCCAAGTGACTGCTTGTGCTGATTGTAGAGGGCTAAGGCTTTCTGTATGTATTTGCCAGAGCTATGCCCTTGTAATTTGAGCGGGAGGAGATGCCTCTGACTTGTCAGATGCATTTGTAGTTCTCTGAAGTAAAATGGAGATTCTTGTATGAATCTGGCAAATCTACTTCAGCAGGTGTGAGACTGGCACAGTGATTTCCCACCTATTAAGCGTGCAACGAAGACTTCACCTCACAGCTGCAGCACGACAACGTGGCCTCACCTCTTCTAAGTGTGTGTCACAGATGCTGGTGGCTGTAGATGTAACATCAGGATGAGGAGGTGGAAGGATGAGGATATGTTTCTAGTTAGGACTTTAGACGAAGGGAAACTCCCTGGCTGCTTCCGCATCTCTCAGATGCCTGCTGTCACGTGTACTGCTGGGTGTATTCCAGTCTGCTACAGGTTTTGTGACATTCAGTCCCACTTGGTACGGTGACAGCAGTTGGCATGTGGATGTAGCTGGCATAACTCACTCCTCTTCTTCTGTTTGAGTGCTTGTTTAGGCTGTAATTCAGCAGTACTTTAAAGAGGCTTTGAAAGCCCTGGAGTTTGTAACCTGGCATTGTGTTGTGCAGGAAGGAGAAGCATAGATGTGGTGGGATTTAATCTGTGTAGAAGAATTGTTTGGGGTAGAGTGCTTACACAGAACAAACCTTTTGCGCAGTAAACAGAGATGAGATGACAGGACATTGTGCACATTTCAAATTGCTACACACAGAATCTCCCCAAGACTATTTCCAAAAGATCTTTGTTTAGCTAACCTTCAGATTTAGATTTTGTGAAAATAAAATGTACTCTTTTATTCAATCTAATGACATAACTGAATTGTGCTAGAAAGTTTTGTTTAGACTAGAAACCTGCTATAGCTTCCTGTGTACTGGTGGAGCATGGTGTTGTTTAGGTTGCAGTATTCCTAGTCTGTTTTTGTTGCTGGTTGAAGTGCTACATGTGCCACCTACAAAGAATAAGGTGTGCTTCGGTGAGAGTAACTGGGTGGAGATAGCTTCAACATTATTTAAGAGCCTGATCTATTTTAGCAGCAAAGGGACTAGTGATTATTGTGGTTATACTTGCCTACAGCTAGCCTGTTGATCAGCAAAATCCACTTGGTGGCAGTTAGGATAGTAACTTTTCTCACATGCTCACTTATTGCAGCTTGGCAGGTAGCTAGATAGGGTGTGAGCTTGTGGGGGAAACCAATGTGACGTTCCTTCCTGTTGCTGCCATGTACTTGCTCACAGTGTGTTCACTTAGAGACTTGTGGTAGGCAGACCAGAGTTGCTCTTGATCCTAAATGGCTTATGATCTTTGTTTATCTGGCAGAGCTGGAGCCTGCTGAGAGTGAAACATTTTACTGTGCACCATCAGTGTAGCCAATGGCCTCAGAGGAGAAGGGAAGTAGTATGTGTAATTGAAGCTGCTGTTTCAAAAGCATCAATACAATTTGTCTGCATTGCTCCATAGCAGTGGGGAAACTTACGTGTTGTGAATACTAGTAGGTTGTTCCTCTTAAAGAAAATATTAAACATTGAGCAGCAGCACTGCAGAGCCAAAGCATTCACCTTGCTTACTGCATTTTCTGTCCATTTTCTGTTTGACAGGTATTCGATCCGTGAGCTTCTACGAGCACATCATCACAGTGGGGACAGGGCAAGGTTCCTTACTGTTTTATGATATCAGAGCCCAGAGGTTCCTGGATGAAAAGCCCCCACGTGCCTGCCATGGACAGAAGCAGAAACTAGGAGGAAGTGAAATTCTGAAGCTGACTACTGGGAAAGGCTGGCTGGTGAGTAGCTTGAGGCTGTAGGAGACCCTTCACACAGGTGTGGTGTAGGGCCGAGACCAGTTCTTTTTATAGTAATGGGAGCTATTGTATGAAATGTGTCCCGGTGAAACGGCGATTATGTAACTGATAACTGTAATCATGAAAGGCAAGAAGTGCTGCAGAATTGCTTTCTACAAAAAGCTTTATGAAAGGTATTGAAGGTGGGTTGCTTGAGTGTAAGGCATACTGACTACTGTTCTTATGCACTGATTCATAGATTAACTAGATTTTATATTTTTATATTTTTGAATGTTGTCTAACTTCTGGTTTTCAAAACCTCAAACACAAAATACGTCGTGTTTCTTTATAACTGTGCTACTCTAACACGGTGCTCAGAGTAAGAGAGATTCAATTTAATTTAATTTAATCAATTTAATCTAATTTAATCAATTTAATTGTGTGCAGTTTTAGAAACTGGCTTCCTGAGGTAATGCCACAGCAGTTTGAACTTATGTTCTATTTCCTGTATGTTATCATAAATCAGTAAATGTCTTTGTCTAATTTCTCTCCATTATCTTATTTATCATTGTGATGTAACTTGATATCTTCTCTACTGTTCACTGCCCCCCCCCCCCCCC